TTTTTTTTTTTTTTTTTTTTTTTTTTTTTTTTTTTTGAATGGATTGTTTGTTTGCTAAAAGGAAACGGATGTCCGGGGCCGGGGACCCCACAATTCAACCCGGACTATCTACCTCTGGCAGCATTAGCCAGTTTCGCTTTTTACGGCACCAATAGGAACCGAACGATAACAATCAGATGAGTACCTTGGAAATAGAGTTAAGCTATGTGACGCGCTAACCTCACGCCCTGTGCTGTCTTTCGTTCGGAGTGCTTGATGTGGGTAAAGAGGCCCAGAAAAACAGCAAGATGGGGTGTGCCAAGGATTTTTGGAAATTGAGTGTGGGGACACAGACGGAACTGAAATCCCCCGTGTTGGTCCGATGAAGTAAGTCGGTTGCTTTCGCGCGTCGCGGAATGCGCGCGCGAACACGGCGTGAAAAGAGAAAAATCCAAATTCAATCCAAAAAGTATTGTCGAGCTTCCCACCTCGCTACGGCCCGTCGTTTAGAGCGGAAGGGCTTTGACACTCTTCGCGTGTCTCGTTTTCGTATCAAATCCCGACGTCGCTCGCTGGTCAGTTCCGAGTCTGATGTGGAGGGTCTCAGCCGCGTGGCTCTTTCCTTATGCTCGTCTTCACTCCGTATTCGGTAGTGGAAACCCTTCGCTTCGTAGCGATCGAAACGCTGGCACTCTGTGCACAGGGTTTGAGGCCAATGGGGCACCACTGCCGTCCACGGAATGACGATCAGCTCGTTGAATGGCAACAATATCGAGTAGGGTGGAAAGTGCGTGTCGATAATCACAAACCCAGCCTCTACGAACCCTAAATAACGGTTTGCTGGAGGGAAGTAGTATCGTCCGCCGATCTGTACGACAGCTTCTCGTACGTCCCACTCACATACACGCGTCCTTTCCTCGTTGTAAGGAAACTCTAAGACGTCATCAAGGAAAGAAACGCTCGCGCAACCACCAATCAATCCTTTTTTTAATCACGAGAGAGAAAACACTCATCAATTGGGTTAGGTGAAGGTGTCGTGCAGTATAAGGCAGATGGCATGCGCAGCGCACTCAGAATTACAGATCTAAACACTCTTGCATTCTCGGACAAGATCCCGACAACAATCGTCTAATCAACTCCAAAAAGACACGTACCTCTATACATACATTCACTGTGGAAGGTGCGAAAATGAGATATGCACGGAGACAAAA